TTGACATTTTTAGAAAATTATTACTTCAGCATTTTGTTTCAGAAACCGGTTCCTTTTTTTTTTTCTTTTTTTCCGTGACAGGGAACTGCGACATCGGAGATTTACTTTATCGTCCTTACAGTCGTAATTAGACTTAAGCCCCTTCCACCCCTCTTCCCACCACTACCCCCCTCCCCCCTCCTTCCACCCTTCGAGACACAGGGGGACCCAGGGGATGAAGAAGTGGGGGTAGGTTCCCCTATGTATGTGGTTGGAATAGTTAATGGCCAGTATGTCTGCTCGTAATTAGATTTATACTAGTCTCTCCCTCTGCAATAATTTATATCGCAATCTATTCCTCCTTTCTGCTACAGAGATTAATTAAATTTCTATTACCATTCATAATCGTTAGCTTAAAATATTAACTACGGGATTAATGTAAATATAGAAAAAACATCATTGCTTATTCAACATATAAAACAAGTGGAATGGATGATATTAATAATAATCAAAGGATTGTAGTTTTTAGCAAAATAGTGAATTGTGTTAAACGTTTCTGAATATGCACGGAGTAAATATCGACTGGAAAACGCAAAACTAAGTTTTCTAATATAATTCTACTTCTAGTTTTTTTTTTTTAGCGTGATTGTCGATATTATATATAATAATAAATTAAATGTACATGATGAAATTATAATTCACGTTGGGTGGTTTCTTGTCGTTTCAGTCTGGTATGGTACGATATGATTTTTTTTTAAATAATAAAATCGGACCATTTTTAGCCTAATGTAATGTGTATACTTATTATTTCACTACATTCAATAATCAACCATCGTAATTCGACCAACAAAAGAAAATATCCTCCTCATAATATGAACCTTTCACTTGACTAAATGATTAACTCCTATTTCTACATTTTTGGTTATTAATTTTGATGGGAAAATTTATATCTTTATTCACAGTTCTATATTTCAACACTGCAATCACCTAATATATATATATCACTAAAATGACTTTACTCAAAAATATTGAAATTGTATTTAGCCATTCTGCCAACTGAAAGGCTCATATATCATATTTACTTATTTTCAAATAATATTACCATTTATTCACTAACGTAACATGCTATGGGCCTTATATAAGCAACATATTATGGATCAATTAGTGATATATCTATTCACAAAAAAAACGAAAACACGTGTATGTATGTATGTATGTACTATGAGTTCTCGGTGGCTCACCTAAGCTGGAATTACACGTCTGATATTGTTTTTTATTTTTGTTTTGTAAGAAAATTAAAATATTTAAAATTATCTTGGATAGAATTTACCTTAAATTTCTATAATTCTTGAGTTACGCACAAATCAAGTTTGCTTTTTTTCAAACATTTTTCTTGAATTTTATGGGAGTAATGCTTATTTTTTGGCAATTAAGGTGATGATGATCTTCAATATTATGGTTCAATCATTGGATTTGGTGAAGTAGTAACTAAGATATGTAGTGTTGCCCAAATTCGAGACCGAGACGAGTCTTGGTCTTGCAAACTCAGTCTTGGTCATGGTCTTGGTCTAGCGCAACAGCCTTGCAGTTACTTATTAGCTTATTACTATGGAGATATGACTGTATTTTTTTAGATAGGAAAAACCTAACTAAGACCGAATGAAAAATTAGAGGAGTTAAATGCAAAAGTATATTGGTAATACCAATTATTAACTAAAGAAACTAAGATTGTCAAGTATCAGTAACTATTTTGCCTCAATTTGTATTAAAAATTTGTAGTAAAAATTCGATTTATTTTTACCAGTCTTGGTCTTGCAACAGACAGGCGGGATTTGTCTTGGTCTTCCTATTAGTTAATCCATTAGTTGACCCATCAATTGCATCTCAATTTTTTAGTAAAAGTAAAGAAATTTGTTTTAATCTTTATTAAGATAGGTGGATTGGGATATAAATAGAGCCCTCGAGATGCCGATGAATCTCATGGGACATGGATACCGAAGCGCATCACCTGCTTACTTAAAAAGCCCACACCTTGGCACGAAGCCGGTTGATCCAGAGGGTCGAAGCCGAACCCGAGGCGAGGCGCGGCATCCCGAAAGGCAACATAAATAACGTTAGGATGTTGGACAATGTTTGTCCATGCTGGTAAGCCCTGTTTGCCCTGCCGACTCCCTCTTATCAGAGATGGAGCTAGCCACTGATAAGACGAGCACACAGCGATAACCGCCCTATCTCGGGCCCCCTTACCGACCTGGTCAGGCGGTGTCACTCTCTTATCCTATATTTTTGTTGTCTTGTGTTTACGTTCAGAAGGAAAAAAATAAATAAAGTATGTCAATAATCAATCTCATCGATGATTATGATTGATCATCGCTGTTGAGGAAGCCATTAAAATAAGGCGATGAGGGAAAATGGTATATCTTAAATAGGGTTCGAGTAGGAAATGGTTAGTCTTTAAACATTTTACAAGATTTTAAATAAAATGGAAAATGTTCTCAACATGGGAAAATATGTTGGCGTAACATTATGTAATACTATCGAGAGAAAATAATCCTATTTTTAAATATAAGGGATTTTGCTAAAATAGATTTTTTTACTTTACACGAAATCATCTTTAGAAAATTACATTACATTAAAAAAAAAAAAAAATTGAACATATTCATGACACTTTAGCCATGACTTCCTCTTGATAGTAGTGATGCCCAAATGCGAGACCGAGACGAGTCTTGGTCTTGCAAACTCAGTCTTGGTCATGGTCTTGGTCTTGCGCAAGATTCTCGCAAGAGTCTTGCTGTTACTTATTAGCTTATTACTATAGAGATATTACTGTAATGTTTTAGATAGGAGAAACCTATGTAGGCCCGAATGAAAAATTAGAGGAGTTAAATGCAAAAGTATATTGGTTATACCAATTATTAACATATAGGAACTAAGATTGTGAAGTATTAGTTACTATTTCGCCTTAATTTTTATTTAAAAAATCGATTTTTTTACCAGTCCTCGTCTTGGTCTTGCACTTTGCAAGACCAAGACCTATTTTGGGCAACACTACTTGATAGTAAGGTGTGGAAATGCTAAGTCCGCCCCAGTTTCAGCAAAACTTTGCGGGGTCACAATGGGAAAGGGATATTTCAAAACAATTTCCTCAAAATCAAATAAAATGTTTTCATTTCTGAATATGACCACTCCCATGACAATAGAATTAATATTTTCAAAATGATGACCGGTTTCGCGTAAAAACACACAACTGGGTGAAATGGCGGAAGTTGTGCTATCGAATTATTTTTTTTTTTAACATCATTTAAAAATAAATTAATAAATAATAGTACTTATCTAGTAACTAATTTCTAGCACAAAATTGATAAACCAATAGAAGACATTTCATCTTGTTTCAAGTATAGAATCTCTCCATAAAAAAAAAAAAATGAATAAATAAAATAAAAAATAAATTATATACATATATATATATATAACAAGTAAAAATTCAGTGCTTTATGAATCACTGAGGGTGTTGATAAAAAGGAATCTTTAAAATAGTAATATTCATCACTGATATTATTTATGGGATTATTTATTCCAACTCATTAAATAGAACGTGTCAGCATGTCAAACATGTTTTGATTTCTTTATTGTACATTAAATATCTTGACACCAGTTATAAAATAAAGGACCGTAAACTGTAAACGTTAGTAAACTGTACATGATTTAACTGTACATGCATGTACATGTACTGAAATTGTACATGCATTCCCAATACATAAAATTGAAAACACGCCGCTATTTGATATCCAAGACATGGCGTTGTCTAAGGTACTGTTACTGAACTAAAATTTCTTGGAGTGAATATAAAAATAAAAATAATAAAAGTCAGTTCTTCAAAAACCCTGTCAGTGCAATAGATGGGCGATTTTATGTAAATCATCAAATCTCTTTTCAGGCTATTATTGAGCCTTACCCTTGGTATTTTTTTTAAAGGAGATTACAATATGATCGGCCACTAAATACCTTATTTACCAGAAGACTAATATTATGTACTAGTTTTTCTAAGCGACCCCTTAAAGCTGTCAAAATATGATTTCTAGAGTCGAAAAAGTCTTGTTTATCACAATCACAGTCCAACTGAATCAAGGAATCTAAGTTGGATAGAATAATGAATTTTTTTTAAACTTAAAAAACTTTTTCTCGTACCAGACTGAAACGACAAGAAACCGATAGACGTTTCCGATTACTTCAGCACTTACTATACAAACGTTCTAAACTTCCAATTAATTACAAGAGACTCGTATACGTGACTATAATGAGGCCTATTTGGACTTACGGAGTTGAGCTATGGGGCTCCACTAAACCATCGAATTCCTCTCGTATCCAATCCTTACAATCCAAAATCCCTCGTAAAATCCTCAATGCTCGCTACTTTGTTACAAATAAAACCATCAACCTAAATGATTTTTATGTTTTAGATCTGGCCCAATCCAGATACCTATCCTTCCATAATAAACTTCAGAATCATCCCCACCCTCTCGTTTCTAACCTTGCTTTCTCTTCAATTCCTAATAACACTCCGGGGCGTCTGTTTTCAGATGTTCTTTTGAAGATGGCCCCATGATCTCCTAATCACATATTATTAGAGTGCTACCATTGGGTAGTTTCTGAACAAGTGTTTTACGTCATTATATCTATATGTTCAAATTAACTAAATGTATTTCTTTAATACAGTTGTAAATATCATAAAGCAATAAAAAAATATATATGAAAACAATTAAGTGATAGGTACTATGAACACAATTAACTACATTATTATGAAAGAGTAAAAAATCACTAAGAAATAAAACATCAATATTAGGTTGTTGTTGGAATTTCTCCAACACAGCCTTATTTTATGTATCTAAAATGCAGATAAAGAATAAAATGTTCCATCAACTTTTTACCGCTCCATATATCATCAGGATGGAAAATAAAATAGCCCCAAGATTACATCACTCAACGAAATTATATCGCCTGCGGAAGAAACGTGAGGTTCCTTAAAGGTTTGTTAGACCTCGCCTTTCTTCCAGCAGGCGATTGAATGTCATGGAGTGATGTGTGATCCCTGGATTGGCGACACGTTGTCGGGTTATATTATTCTCCACCTGCTCAGTGGTTGAAATATTTCCAATTTAGCCTGTAATTAACTATAAAAATAAATAAAAATAGTGAGATAACATCGGTTGGTACTGACCCTGACCCTGGCTTCGGTGAGGTTGGTCCACATGGCGATCTCCTCCCGGGTGGACATGTCCGGGTACCTGTTCCTGGAGAAGGTGGCCTCCAGCTCCTGGAGCTGCTGGGAGGTGAAGTGCGTCCTCTGCCGCCGCTGCCGCTTCCCCGGCTTGCTCTTCCCCAGTCCCGAGCCTCCCTCCTTCCCGTCCTCGGCTCCTTGCTCTTCGGTCTTGATCCCGGTCACTCCCCAAATACCTGAGGAGCAAACATAGAAGGAATTCTTTAGGTTATATATGTAATTAATGAGCATGTTATGATACTTATGTAGGTTTTTTGCAATTAATTAATGAAACCTAGCCCTTTGTCAATGTTCATACAAAACAAAATCTGATATTTAACATAGATATTAATTTGGTTTTGACTCCGAATCGATGGAAGATAGATGTCTGTGGTACAGACCTCTTTTTATAAAATTATTACCATCCTTCTGAAACTTCGTGAATAGCTCCATCTCATCGTACCTGCAACTATTTTATTTAAGGAAAAAAACTCTTGGAATTGGGGCGTTTTCAATCTGGAGATCGGTGAACTTTGTCTATTTAATTAGGTACTAAAATATCGTAGATACCAATTTGCTTTCTTTCCACTAGAGATAATTGAGAAAATAATCGTAAGATAATTTTATAACAAGATCTAGAAAAAAAAGTGACCTACAGAAATATTTGGCCATTTGGTCTATACAATCTCGTTATTTTGATATGTTAGGTCACGCCAATCGGCTCAATATTTTTAAAGGTCACCTTCTTTCTCGATTTCATGCTCAAATTATCTTACGATTCAAACAGAAAACAAACGGGTATTTACGAGTTTTTATTACCTAATTAAATAGACAATGTTTGCCGATCTCCAGATTGAAAACACTCCAATTCCCAGAATTTTCATAAATAAATATAGTTGTAGTTTAGGACGAGATGAAGCTGTATACTAAATTTCTGGCGGATGTTAATAATTTAAAAAAAGGGGGGTCTGTACCACGGACTAATATTTTTGTAATGATTTTGTAGTAATCTGTGAGTCGAAGAGTAACAATATTAATATATATCTAAGACATTAAACATCATAATACTACGTCTTACAAGAATATATTATAATCTAGATAAATATGCCAGTAAGCGAGATCTGCATGCTGTAAGCGAGAGAAATGTTCAATATTTCATCCTCTTTATAATGAGCTAATAATGACAGCATTGACCATTTTTTTTTGCATAGCACTATGAAATGAAAATAGGGAACTAGAGTAACTTCTATACTGTATTTTTCAAAATGTGACAGATTATCAAATGGAGTTGAATAAGATAATTAACATTTTTTAACTGAAAACTTCTTTAAGTGCGTTATGCAATTTTTGTGGAGAGTGAATTAGATTGAACAGTCAGATCTTCGATGCGTTACGCTCAGGAAAAGTCGGCTGGAGTAGACTAATTGAAGTGTTTTTGCATATGGATTAAAATAACCCAAAAACTAAAAATCGGAATTGCATGTTGTTAGCGAGGAAAATGTTCAGCGTTCCATTCTCTTTGTAATTAGATATTATCCAAAATTGTATCTTAACGCGACGCCGCGTTAAAAAGGCTAAAAAAACAGTGTCGAAAACCAAAGTACTACAAGTTTTATGGAAGAATGGATTAAAATCTCTCAGAAACTAAAAATCAGACCTGCATGCTGTAAGCGAGAGAAATGTTTAATATTTCATCCTCTTTATAATGAGCTAATATTTATAATTTATATATCATATTATTAATCTCGCATTGTTGGTGTTTTCATTTCTATTGTTCAGTTTAAAGCACGTACCTTAGGTTTTTTTTTTATTTCCAAGTTTTATCTAGTTGAAGTCTCATTTGCTGTTATTAAGACTTCTACATCATTTCTAAACTATTTTTTGGATGTTAACATTAATTAAAATTTTTAAATTATATCAAAGATGATGTGTAGGTATATGAGCATAAAGAGGAGGGACTCGAACGCTCTTATCCGAACCCCAACTCACAAATCTCGGGGAATCTCAGAGAACCCAATCTGGTTTGAATAGGGTCGTAAATGGCGGGGACAGGAATAAGAACGCCCGTGGATACTAGGGACCTCATCTCAATATAATTCGGTTTCGTGTACTCTTCAAGAGCCGAGGTGAAATACATACCGAAATAGAAAATAACAATCATATACTTTTCAAATTTTTGTTGACGATAAATTGATTATTTCAGTAGCATAATAATGCAAATTTTTCATAAATAATTTAAAATATAGTAAACAAATGAAAATAATTCGTAAACTAAACTTTTACCACTATGTAATCCATTAACGCCTTATTATTGCTTAACAAGAAATAACAATTATTATTCAGTACCATAGGTGGAGAATAACCTCTAGGACGCATGTGGCCTTCAATTGTTTTTGCGTGATATTTATAAATCTAGCGCTTGTAAGAATAAATTGAATATATGTATATGGGTGTTAGTGTTGCCCAAAATTGGTCTTGGCCTTGCAAATTGCCAAATTGACCAAGGTTGCCTAACTATTGCAAGACGAAGACCAAGACAGGTAAAAAAAAAAAGATTTTTTTAATAAAAAATTTTTAAACTATATTTATTGAGAGATATTACAATCTGTCACAAATAAGGACATTTATAACAGTATTCCGAGAGCATATTCACACTCTGTCAACAATAAATAAAAATAAATAATACAGAAAAAACAAACAAAAAAAAAATGGGCTCCTCATATCACCGCGGCTGTTTCCAAATAAAAATTAAGGCAAAATATTTACTAATGCTTGACAATCTTAGTTACTATAACTTAATAATTAGTATGACCAATATACTTTTGCATTTAATTCCTCTAATTTTTCATTCAGTCTTAGTTAGGTTTCTCCTATCTAAAAATGGCAGTAATATCTCTATAGTAATAAGGTAATAAGTAACTGAAAGACTGTTGCGAGACTCTTGCATAAGACCAAGACCATGACCAAGACTGAGTTTGCAAGGCCAAGACTCGTCTGGTTCTCGCATTTGGGCAACACTAACGGGTTTGTGTATTTAGTAATAAATAAAAATAACAACGGTAAAATATAAACTATTACACTGGCCTCTATTTGATAAAAAGGTTCCCGATCTATGATCTATACCTATTTTTATAGAACTTCCCCCAAAATGTAGAATATCTTAAAGCTTCAGTTTTTGACTTATACCAATTTTGTAATAAAAAAATTGTTTCAATTTTGTTTTCATTGGCAAAACAGTGTTGTAAGATTTCAACGTTACGAATAACAGTTTACGTCGACAAGCCAAATACTATTGGTGTAAAATCCTTAATAAACATTTCATTTTACTTAATTTTGTGTGATATTACGCAAATCCAGAAATGTTATAAGTTCTAGGCGAATTATTATACATCATTACATTAGTAAATGTTAATACATAAAAGAGTTGATATTATTCCAATTATACTCTCGAAAAGATATGTTATCACCAAGACCTTGGCTGACCTTCTATGTAAAAGAAAAAAAAATCCACCTTAGAGGAGAAAATTGGTTACGAAATCGAAGAGATGATCTAATTGCAAACACCTCATAATTTCGACGTCGTAAACCGCTATTGGTATATAAAGCGATTGGTAACCTAAATAAATAATTAGGAACTTTTAGTTACATATTGGAACAACTCCGTGTCATGTAAATTTCAAAATTTTAAATATATTTCTAGAGGGTGTGAGCAGATCTCTCTCAAGGCCCTTTTAGTCTTCAAGACCCTGATGGTAACATGGAGAAAGAAAGAAAGAGGATTTGGATGATTATTGGTTGAAAAGTGGAATGTTGTGTGTTTGTTATGTATGCAAGATTTTTACTTTTGGCATGTCCATGTCGTTGTGTATAGTGTTATATGAAATAAACCAGGGTGCATTTATGATTTTTTTAAATGTATTTTGGACTGTGCAGTTTCAATTTGGTTTATGTAGACGTTTTTTGCGGAACCACTAACTCAATATGTCCAGATTACTGAGTATAGTGTATTCCTACTAAGAATAGGGTTGTAGATTAGTCGCTTTTTTTCTAAGTTGAGTGGAGATATCTCGTGTAAGAGATGTGACAGTTTTTTGTATTTGTACCTGGTCAGTTCTTTTATTTATTTATTTATTTTTATTTATTTAGATGAGTTTTCTGTCTAAGTATAGTCCGAGGTACCGTAACTCAAGAGTTTTTGAGGGAAATGGTTCGTTGTCTATTTTAAGATACGGAATCTTCTTCTGCAAGAAGCTAACATGACTTGACAAGCTTGAAAATCATGGGTCATTTAATAACTTCTGATATATTATAATAAACAAGATTAAATCACAACTAGCTTGAGTCAAAATCTTATAACCGTTTCCTCCAAAAAACTTCCCGAACAAAAAAAAAAAAAAAATCATACATAATTTAGAAGAAACGTTAATTCCTGAAAAAAGGTAATCTTTAGAACAGATATTATTTTATTTAATTCATTATTAAACATAAGTTTTAAAAAGTTAAGCTGACATAGTGAATGTTACAATATCCTTTGCAACCTCCTTTCGATAAACACTAGCGGATCCACGATTTAATTTTGGGGGAGAGGCTTCAGCCCGAAAGCTTTTTTTTCATATATATAACGATAATTAATTTTAAAAAAAAAGAAACTAATTACTTATTTGACATGGTGTTAAAGTGATTCTTGCAGTCCTATTAAAAGTAATTACACGAACAATAATACTTTAAGACATAGTTTTTAATATTTTTTTTTCTATAAACGTGATTATATTTTACCGTTTGGGGAAAACGAGGGCTTCAGTCCGAATGCCCTTCCTCCTCTCTCCCGAAGGCCCCCCTGTGACGATAAAGGAAATTACAAACAGAATGACCAAGCATAAAACTACATTTCATTTTTTACGGTCATCAATTTATTTACATTTAAAATTGATGTGTTACGATGGATCTAAACTCGTTAGGACAGGCCGGTTCTACATGGCATAAATATAAAAAATCGCTGAGAGAGAAGATTTGTGAGAAGTTAGATTTAGATGCAACATGGCAGAAAAAATTGTATGATCTCATCTGTAAAGTTTATTTTAAAAACCGACATCTTTCATTAATATGTTTAAAGACTAAAGAATATTCCTTTAACTTAATATTACAATCCATGTCATGTTAAGTACATAACTTTGATGTCAACTTTAATTATAGTCTCTTATTCAGAGAAGAGAGGTTTTTGGGCTGAAACATCCATTAAAAGAAAATAATTATATAGATAAATAAGATCACATTTTCAATAAATCTTCTCAAAAGTTCAGCACCATTAAATATTTACTTATTGACTTTTTGCTATAAACCTGTGAAACTGTGTTGTTAAATTATAAAAAAAATATTAATAAAAATATTTTTAAAAAAGTATAAAAAAAATATATATAAATTTTTCTAGAAGCCTCATTATTCTTTTAATTAGTTTGTTATTAAAAAAAAAGAACTTCGCCCATCTAAAAATCCTCTACTGCCTTAATAATAATAACTTAATTATATAGGCATTAACCTTTTAACTGTTATGTAGAATCAAAGGGATTAGCAAATATAATATTCCAGAGTCGAAATTAAACAAATTAATGAAATGAGACAGAAAAGCGGAAGAACATTAACAAGCCTGTTGAAATGAGGGTTTGCTATGCTTTATTCCATTTGATGCCAAAGTTACAATTATCCAATGAAAACATCATTAACAAATTTTATTCGATTCCCCATTCACAGAGGGACAGGAATAAAAGAAAGGCCGGACGCTGATTACAAAACGTGATTGGTGAATGACTAATTGCTATTGACCAATCAGAATGCAGTTAGGGGACGTCGTTTTTCCCCAGCTGTGACAGTTAGCTGTCGAGTTTGTTCGCTACAAAGCGAGGGTCTCTCTTGTTGATCTATCTCTCTTCGCTACTCTCTGTTTTATTTTCTCCTCTGTATATCTATATGTTGTTCGTACATCTGTGTGGAGAATATATTTGTACGTTATCATGCTAATCATTTTAAAAACTATTATGCGAATGAGGGTACTTCGGTGTTCTTCATCAGATTCATCGATTTAACAAAGGCTTCTGATTTTATTAACCTAAAGCTGTATAATATTCTAATTGAGCAAGGGATATCAAATAAGCTAATAAATTCTAGTTATGATTTTACTTTGAAAGAAGATGATTCCCTTTCATTAGTCTTATTTAATTTAACGCTAGAACATGGCAGCAGAGTTTCAGAGTACTGAAAAAGTTTGAATATGGGAGAAACAACAGTAGTAACGAAACCCCGTGAAGAGCTGGGACTCGAAATTAATACGTATGAAAAACTGTATAGTTATTTCGGTGATTTAGATATAGAAAAAAAAGTCGCGCCTTTTATTCAGAAACATTAAATTAAAATTTATAAAACTGTTGTATTCCCTACTATTCGTTGAGGATGCGAAACGAGGCTACTCACGTCTTAGAGTTCCTTAAAATATAGTATTACGTAAAATATTTGGAACAAAGTACCAGCCAATCAAAGAATTTAGAAGGTTACATAACACCAAATTGTGTGAAGTGTGTCCGGTAAATATAATTATTGTAAAAAAAAAAAAAAATAAAAAATGGAGAAAAACAATGTCTTCATAGAATATTTTTATAACCTTCCGTTTCAAAATGACTGCCGAATTCTTCAATCACTATAGACTGTAGCGCCTAAACTCGAATGATTTCAATGAAACTAGTATTCGAAGCCGTTTTAAATTAATGTGTATAACATACTTCTCCGAAAAGAAGCTGAAAAAAAGTTAGGATTAATGAAAAATTTTTATTTCTAATAAATAAGAAATTATACACTTAATATATTTGTCCTTATTAGAAAATTGGTCAAATTTTCAGCCCGAAAGCCTTTTTTTCATAAAAAATGACGATAATTACCCAAGGAAAAAAAGAAATAAACTAACTATCTATATGAAATGGTGTTTAAGTGATTCCTTAGGTCCTTTTAAATGTAATTACACGAGTAATAATACTTTAAGAGATACTTTTTAATATGTTTTCTCGTAAAACATGGTTATATTTTACCAATTTGGGGAGCTTAAGCCCGAAAGCCGAAAAAATAAAAAAGAAATAATAATAATAACAGTGAAGAATGGTTGGGGTGATCAGTCAGAAATAACAAGGCAAAAATAAATGATAATATTTATTTTGACATTTGCCGACGTTTCGACCTGAAGTTCAGGCCTTCATCAGAGTTGCTCCCAAAAGGTTATTGGAGTACAATGATTGTAGGAGTACATTTATTGTAATCCAACAACCTTTTGGGAGCAGCCCTGATGAAGGAATGAACTTCAAGTCGAAACGTCGGCAAATGTCAAAATAAATATTATCATTTATTTTTGCCTTCTTATTTCTGACTGATCAACCCAACCATTCTTCTCTTCATTATTAACGACAGTCAACCATTTACCCACAATAATAAATAATAACAATGAAGTGTAGATATTGAATAGTTATTTTATTTTGAGTTAAATAATTTCTAAAAGTATATATAAAATCTATTCAGTTCCGCATTTTCAGTCAATACGTATTTATGTTAAATACGAACCTATTGTCCTTAATTTAGTTATGTAAAAATGATTTCATTTACGCAAGAATTACATAAATGCTTTGAGCATCTCGTAAGGAGCTAAGATAAATGTCCAGGTTCCTGATATAATAATAAAAAAAAAGGGAGAGACATACTGTAGGAAACTGAGGCAGTAAAGTTTGACAGAGGTTTAGTGATTACAGATGAGGACGGGGACAGTAATATATCAGCTGTTCCTCGGGTAATCTCCCGATGATGAAGGGGCGCCTTGACAAACAGCCTCAGCCGCCAGGAATAGAGCTCGCACCCTCCTCTTCTTGCGGCTAAGTAATTGGCCCGATCATCAGGAGTCATTACGTCGGTGTCCGTCATCTTCGCTGTCCGTCCGCGTTTTGGCGAGGCGGCAAATATAAATAAAATATTAATTATTCTCTAATTTAGTATTGTTATTAGCTACCGGAGACCAAGTTTAGCTCGCATTTAATTTTATTGCATTAGTTAACACGAAAAAAAATATCTGGTGCGGTGCGCCCATCACAAAACCCTCCATACAAACCAGCCGAAATAAGTGTTTTCAGAAAAGAAGAAAGTGAAAGTAAAAATTATGGACGCTATATTCATTTATTTTTTATAGTGAGTATTTCTATTTTTTCAAGTACTCTAATATATACAAATTTTAATATTTATATCGCTGTAATCTATACAATTAAATATTTAATAATACCAACGATATCAGTTATGAAAACTGCATATGTATATGTACATAATATTTTCGGAGTCCGTGTTATATTAAGCTCATGCACTAGCGGATCCAGGATTTCATTTTTGGGGGGAAGCTTCAGCCCGAAAGATTTTTTTTTCATATATAACGATAATTAATTTGAAAAAAAAAGAAGAAAGAAATGAACTACCTACATGAAATGGTGTTTAAGTGATTCTTGAAGTCCTATTAAATGTAATTACACTAAGAAGAATACTTTAAGAGATAGTTTTTAATATTTTTTTTCTATAAAACACGGTTATATTTTACCGTTTTTGGGGGTGGGGAAGGCTTCAGCCCGAAAGCCCCCCTGTAAATCCGCCTGTGAGCTCATGTTATTTATGGAAGCCTGTTCTAATCATTCGGGAGAGCTCGGGTGTACTCGTATTCCATTGGTTCCTAAATTACAACTATTCTCCGTTACGATCTCTTATTTCTTCTTTAGTTAATTAATAACTAACTGTAAAACTGTGTTAAATCGATGATTTAAAGCACCGCTTTCAGTTAGCCGATTTTGACGAAAAAGTTGGTGTAACATTTCATGCATATACAAACCAAGACCAAGACCAAGACCGGTATAAATAAATCGATTTTTTAATATAAATTGAGGCAATATAGTCACTGATACTTGACAATTTTTGTTATTATATGTAAAGAATTAGTGTAACCAATATAAATTTGCATTTAACTCTTCTAATTTTTCATTCAGACTTAGTTAGGTTTCTTCTATGTAAAAAATTACAGTAATATTTCTCTAGTATTAAGCTAATAGGTAACTGCAAGACTGTTGCGAGACTCTTGCGCAAGACCAAGACCTAGACCAAGACTGAGTTTGCAAGATCAAGACTCGTCTCGGTCTCACATTTGGACAACACTAGTGGTGATGACAGTGTTAGGACGGGTTAGAATAACAGCTGTTTTAACTGTCTAAAGGATAGGACCTAGGATACTACCTTGATAAACACCAGTATATTGAGAAAAGAGGGACGAATAAGCATTATTGTGATTTAATTTGTCACATGATTTAAGTGTCTCCATCAGTAAGGTATGAACGGATTTAAAAAAAAAAAATTAATTTATACTTTAGTACAAACGGAGAGAAAGTTTAAAATAAAATAAAATATTAAATAAGGTCTCACTGGCATAATTTTGTAATTTCGGTTTTTAATTTTGCATTTGCTTCCACCCGACCTAACTGACACTGACATTGATATCGAATCCTGAGGTCTAGAAGTTTAAGAGAAAAGGTTCTTCGTGGGATTTCAAGAGAGAGTTTAATTGCTTACCCTAAATTATACGATTTTTTCTATTTCAAAGAAAAAAAAATTATATTACATGAGCTTAATTAAATGAAATCCATAATAAAAATATTATATATAATCCAATGATAAAATTGAAGAAAAAAACAATAATTCATGATGACCATCTGGATTAGTCAGATCTTGAAATCCTGTATAATTTATAGCTTTGAGCTGGATTGGAGTTATCTTGAAGGAAAGCAGGTTATCAAAAGTTGCAAATAAGGTTATGTAACTTATTACTGTATTATATATCAACAGTTTAAGGAACTTAAATATCTTTGATATAAACATAAATAATTTGATTAAAAAAAAAAAATATTAAGTCGAAGGTTATTACTTTTTAACAGGAGAGCGGTTAAGAAATTTTAAAATAATAGGGCGATGTTATCTTTATTTTTTTAAATTTCATATTGAAGATAAAAGTTCCTCATTAAAAATTGTTTTATGTTTTCATCGTAAATTTTCTTTCTGCTTTTATAGATTAGAGTTTTTATTTTTATTTTTAACAATTTATTTCGTTCAGAGCTAATGTTTTTCTCAAAGAAGAATAACTTATACCAGTATAATATAATACTTAATTCAATGAAATTATCATAGTATTTGAGAGAAGTTTCATTATGAATTAATACAACAACACAGATTTTAACCAATAAAACAAATTTAAAATGAATCCTAAATGAATTAAAATTTACCCTTTAAATAAGGAGGACCTAAGCTGAAGGATTTAGTTTTTAAATTTACAGTTAAAAATATATATTGTCATTTTATAAAAGATTTTTAATGGATTGAAAAAAAAAAATCGCGGAAAAAATCGAATACATTGTATAGGAAAAATATAATTAATCAGATTAATTCCTAAATAAACTTTTTTAATTAATTATTTTAGTTAGCCTGTGATAAATTTTTTTAAGGAAAAAAAAAACATTGATAAAGTAATGATTCTTAATATTTTATTATACATATTAAATTTTACAAATTAGATTTATTTTAATCGGTTATTCAGGTTGACTGTTGTAGATCAATGTGCATTAAAAACTGTTAATGAATCAATAATTTATATTATTTTGTTTAATCACTTCTATACTCGAGACCACTGATTTTTATATAACGTTTACCTATTCACATGATTACAAATTATAAGGTTCATTTTAATAAAATATTTCACTTCATTAAATATCAAGATTTAATAGTTTCTTATCTTTCTTTTTATTTATTTTGTTTTAATACGTTATATAACAAGATAGCAAAAGATTTCAATGTAGAAAATTTATTTGATGTCTGATCACTAGCTTATTATTTTAAAATGGAATTCTGTAATTTGAAAATAAATGTTTTATAAATGTGTTTCATTTATATTAACATTAATTCATGACAAGATGGTTTGTTTTCCAGCGAATTGCAAAGTCAACTCCATCTTAAGTCACACAAATCCTCGAAAGTACACACAAAATATTATACATTTGTTAGACGAACTTAGAAAGAGTACTTTGAGGCGAAGTACCGAAAGTTTTCCCATCGAACCAGGACTCACAATATATTCAAGCTCAGACCTCAGCCATTTACTGATACAGAAGGGGAGAAGAGATTTGCTTTCTCGCTCCTTAAAGAACAACAGAAAATAAATCCATAGAGTTTTTAAGTAATATTATTACTAATCGTATATATTATTTATCATATAGGGACTGAAATATGTAACCAAAAGATCTTAACAGCATAGAGAATTTATATTCATCATATAATCTTTGTAGCGTAATGAATATGCACTGTAACATTATAATAAGTTTTGAGATTTCTATAAAAAAGAATTATTTAATAAAAAAGTGTTAGCTGAAACTATCGATAAGTAAGATATTTCTGGATGTATTCCAACATTGGATGAAGTTTGAGATTTCTCCATAAGCTGAACAATACTATACCGAAAAATATTACGTAATTGTTCATTATATTTGAAAGATTGCGATTTATGTACTTTCTAGGAAAAAGAAATTAAATATTATAAAAATAAATAGAGGTGATCGATGCACTAATTTATATCAGAGATGAAAATTAAAATTCAATTTTCTATTTTTTTATATTCAATAAAAAGTGCCAAGTAGAATTTCAAAATAGAAATTCAAATAAATGTATGTAACATGTTTGTCAGTTAACATAAAAAAAAAAAAAAAAAATACGTACGCCATAGTCTATATAGCATGGGTGAACAACTTTTTTATCATTAGAGGCCGCAGTAAGGTAAGGCAGTGAATGGAGACCGCAACAATTTTTTATAGTTTATTGTTGCCATTTTTATTTAATACTAAATATGCACATCCATAAAACTATATTCAATTTAATTCTTTTAGTTTGCAAATTTTCGTGTTAAATAATAAATCTTCATTAATTATAGAGCTAGATTAATAAATATTGCGTAAAAGACTTTGGAAGCAGCACCTACGTAGCGAAGGCGACATGCAGCCTACAGATGGCAGGTCCCCACCTATGATATATACTGCACATACAGTAAATTTAATTCTTAAAGTTATGAAGTTAAAGTTATGAAGCGCACACGGCTGCAACGGTAGATGACAAAAACAATCAATACCGGACACCGGTATTCTACGCAGGCATCAGCTGCATACAGATTCTAATGCAACGAGATTGTTACGAACGGTGAAAGACCCAATTGAATCTTTGAAGCATCATGTTAAAATCTTAGACACAGAGCATTGTTAAAGTATAATTGGTAAACGATTAAAAAAATAATATAATAATAATAATTAGTATGATTATTGATACTAAAATAAGTAAAAAGTTCGACTTCACAATTAATAGGATTATAATAAGCACAGGCGGATCTACGGAGAGGGAGGCTTTCGGGCTGCAGCCCCCAAATTGGTAAAATGTATCCATGTTTTGTGGAAAAATATTTTAAAAATTCAAAATCGTCAAAAGTGGCACTTTATATCATAGACTTGAAACATTTATACAATTTTCTCGTAAAAGGCTCTAAGGATTTTGATTAAATTCATTGTGTCGGTGTAAAATTAGGAATTTTAAAATGAAATTTAGGTTTTAATCTAATTGATGTTCTCTAACATTGATTAAATGACTAATTTTCAATATAAGCTTCCTCTGAAGTACCTTTAATTTTTTTAATTGAAACAATTAACTATTTAACATTGGTCTATGATATGAGTTTAATATAAAAAACTTGATAATTACCTAAAGGAGAAAAAGAGTTAGTAACGGATAATAATTGTAATTGAGGAACCAAAGGAATACGAGCGCGTCTGAGCTTACCCGAAACATTAGAACAGGCTTCCATAAGTAAC